AGCTGGGACAAATTCAAGGCGACTCTGTCAAAGCTGCAGCGGTGCTCCGCGAGGGCGCAGGGGCCACCGGCGAGCCAAAGGAGAAAAAGCAGCACGGTGGACACAAATCGACGCATGTCTCTGCTACTCGTTTCTTCCAGCCTTGGACGTGTTCTTCTTTTCTGCGTCACCTGCGCAAGAGAAGGCAGGAGAGGAGAGTGTGCAGTAAGTGTGAGGGAGAAGCGGGGAGTACCGAGGGAGCAAGAGAAGGGGAGGCAGCCAGAGCCGCCCTCGGTGACGCTCGTCACAGACACAGCAGGGAGGTGTAAGCATGTAACAAAGAAACAAGAAAGACGGTGGCGCGGTCGGAGCGGATTCTTGTTGTGCCTCTCCTCCTCTTCTCACTCCACACTTTATTTTGTGACGTACCAAGGGAGTGAGGAGGCGTACATACGGCATCATGCTCTTTGGTTGCTGTTGAGCCGCTGTCATTCTCCAGGCTTCCAAAAGTGGTCTTTGCTAAGGGCTGTGGATGTGAAACGTAGATTTCTTGTGTTGGCATTGATTTTGGCGGCGTTTGTGAGGTGCTCCTGCTCTTCTCTTTGCTTTTTTGCGTCATGCATATAAATATTTCTGGGTGACGAGAATGTAGAGAAAAGATGTCACGATGTTATCGTAAACGAAAATTAAAAGACCGGTTATGAAGCTTGTGGCCGGAGAGTACGCTTTTCTCATGCAGCTTCAGCCCCACACTTGTAAGCCACTGATAAACGTTGAAAGCAAAATCCCCATCCATGTGTTTTGCCATGTTTACTTCCTGCACCGTAGTCACCATTGTGTTTATACGTGGAGCTCGTTTAGTGACAGTCAACACAACATCGTGCCTCACACCACACGGTGAAGTCCATTCTTATTTGTGCTTTCATGAAAAGCCACCCAAACACAAATAATAATGGAGTCGGACTGTTTGTGTCGTTGGAGAGCATACCTCAGCTCATCTGGTTGCTTGTCTCTGGCGGTAACTTCACGGTAATACCATCGAGCGCGTCCGTAAGCTGAATTTGGCACGATAATCGTGATGTCTTTGTGACGGATGGCGCCAAGTCGAGCATGTCCACCTCGTCTTCTGAGGGCTCACTCAGCTTCTCAAAGTCCTCCTCGCGGAGTATCACGTGGCAGGTGCTGCAGGCACAAGTTCCATCACATGCGGCCTCAATGTCAAGTCTTCCCAAGTCGCGTATTGCCTCCATGAGGGTAATGCCCGTGGGAGCGGTGAAGGACACCGTTTTGCCCTCGGCTGACGTGGCGTGAACCCGCACTTTGCCCGGCGTCGCTGCCGTCCCCGCAACGTTGGCACATAAGCGCAGCTGACACCGGCTGAAAAACGCAGAATCGTGGAGAAGACACATCGATGACGAAGGCGTGAGACGACGCCATAAAAGTCGCTGCCTGCTATTTTGTGCACAAAAGCCAATTGACATCGTGGCGGCACTCCCGCATAAAACAAAACAAAACAAAAAAG